ATTACTTGAAAAAATTTTAAGATGAAATCCATGAGAGACCAGTTGTTTTTCCAAACTACCAAAAATCCTCTTGCATCAGCTTTCTCTTCACAGCTTCCTGTCTCAGCAAAGGACTCTCAAACCTGTACGCACGACTCGAGGTTGAATAAAACTGCATCGTTCAGCTGACAGAAATGTTGCATAAAGCATACTTTATGATGGTGGGGAATCTTTTAACTGCTGGAAAAATGTCCGTAAGTTTCATGAGTTGGTTCTTTGATGTTCTGAAGTCGCAGCACTGATTAAATTGGCTTTCCATACTATAAACTCAGAAATACTTGAAATGACTTGCTCTATTGTTAAATCTGATCGATGTGCACAGCACTAGAAAGTCAATAAATTTCTTTCAAAGTGACCAAATAATATTTGCCACAGTCCACTACTTTTCACAATGTTGGCACTTTCTCCATCAGTAGTTACTCCAGCCAGTTTTGATGTATCAATATCTAACTCATAAAATACATGAAAATAACATTCAAGTAAACCATCAGTGCCACATGCATCTGGTGTATGCACACCAAGGAATAATGTTTTCAACTCCTTTGGCAGAGTACTACAACTGATGAATTTGTTGTCTTCCATTTTCTCAGAAATGCTGCCATCAATTTGCATGCTAAAAATTATTGCATCATTCGGTTTCTGACTCAGATTTTTTGTTCAATGTTCAGTGGTTGTAATGCACTCCAGCATTTCCCCATAGTGAAGTGGTTCTCTGCTGTAAAGGTCTCCTGCAGATGGTTGAGAAGCTGGAACAGTAGGATCCTTGCCATGATCTCTCATAACAGAAATCAAATGGTTTGCTGCCATATTGGTAAGATATTTTGTAGGCCACAAAAAGTTGTAGGTGTTTATAGCATACTAACTATCAGAGTATGCATCAAAAGGTAATCATATTAGAAACTGTAATCTCTGCTGAATCCTTGCTTAAGATATTAAACCATGGATAATTTGTAGAGTTTTCGTTCAAAGATTCTTTAAGCATGAGATGCTCTTCAACCTTTCAATGAGCCTCAGAATTCAAATGGTCCAAAACTATTTTCAACTGATTTTTTTTATTCCATCAGAATTCTAATAACAGTTGACACTTTACCACATTTATAATGTCATCTTGTGATGTATTCATAGCCATTGCAGATTGAACACTTAATAAATGACCTATTTCTGTTTTTTTTTTCATTTTGTATAATTTGAGACTGTCATTCTTTGTGACAAGCCAATCTGCATCAAGTTTCATACCAGAATACCATTCTGTTGCTATGTCATCTGTCTTTGATATAGGAAGGGTGGTACTTATCATTGTGGTTGTAGTTGGAGGAGGGATGGCCACACTGGATGTGGTTGTCACAGGAAGGGCTAACATATATCAGTTGCAAAAGTTTTGGCTATACTGATAGTCATGGTGATCAAGGCAGTAGCAGTACTTGCAGAGGCTCTACCCACTGTCTTTTTAGTTTTTTGGGCCCATTTAGTAATTGATTGTTGTTGTTTTTCTGGCATTTTTAGCGAACTCATTACTCTTGTGTTTGTAGTTTCTTTCATTAGTGGGCATTGTCTGAAATGAAAAAAACACTGAATTGAAAAGTATGATATTTATTTATTATCATATCGATAACTCAATGCAACAATAATGTAAATCTTAAACCTAAGTATCCTATAAGTTTGAAAAGAGTTTGTGATGACTTGAAGATTATTATGATTGTATTGTGTCCACTGTTAGAATATGCAGTTCAAATAGGGTCTTAATATAATAAATATTAAAATAATAAATAATAATAAAAGAAATTTCGTTGATTATTAAGAGTCTGACTTGACTTGGCCCGGCATGGCCAGGTGGTTAGGGCGCTCGACTCGCAATCTGATGGTCGCGGGTTCGAATCCCCGTCACACCAAACATGCTCGCCCTTTCAGCTGTGAGGACATTATAATGTGACGGTCAATCCCACTATTCATTGGTAAATGAGTAGCCCAAGAGTTGGCGGTGGGTGGTGATGACTAGCTGCCTTCCGTCAAATTCAAAACAAACAATCCTTACTTACCCTTTGGTCACACACAGGGACTGCTAATTATTAATATGATTGGGATGTTTATTTTGATAGGCAATTTAAATTAGTTTTCATTGTTACCTAAAACAACTTGTATGCATAATGGAAGTTTAAAAAATTTGATCTTTCATTTCATATCAATTTTTGGCTGGTAAAATAAGAACCAATCAAATTTGCAATAAAAAAACAAGAACTATGCCAATAGAATTGGACAACATAGTACTAATATTAGGCTTATTAGCCTAAGGATGCTGAAGTATAATATGCCTAAAAATAAACACTGTTCTAAAGTTAATTTTAACATTTTTAATTATTTCGTTACTTTTTTGACAGTGTGTTAACTATTTTTTATTGTTGCAACATCTCAATTCTCTGTATCATGGCTACTAGAATATCCTTGAATTGAACTCAGATGGAACTCAACTGAGTTGAAGTTAGCTTGCCAAACCAAAAAAAAAAGACTGCTGACATTGTAATAATTTTAGTCAAAAATAGGGGGCGTTCAACAATCCCTACCTCAGTAGCACTTAGCCCTACATATATGATTTTTTTCACTGTTCTATAGAATCTTCTTTGCTGGTAGTTTAGGGTACACTTCACCTTTAGCAGATTTTATTTTGGCAAGCACTCAAAGAACAGCTCTCTCTTCTTTTCAAGGCACTTACCCTGTTACTGACTAGTGGGCCAAATGGCCCACCATTATATATGTTAAAAAAAAGGTATGATTTGCATCAATATTTTTAAGTATAGAGAAATATGAGTTTCTGAGTGGTTTGGTAATCTTAGAAGGCTTTATCACTAAGCACAGTTATGCTTAGTATGTAGGGATTGGCCGAGAAAAAGATTGATCACTGCATTCAGTCTGTTACTGTATGATGGTTGGAGATGGCTTGAATGTGTAATGAAGAAAAACTTTAATATAAGTTTAACATAACAGCAAATGTACAACATTTTGACAAGGTATTATCATCATCATTATTAGTCTCAAAAGTGGGTTCCTCATCATTGAATGCTTATGAATAACTGCTTAAGTTGAGTTTCAGCCTTATTTGAGCACCTAATTGCCATTATGAAATGTTTCATAGTTTGTATAATGATAATATTATTCTGTTCTTCTACCACACATTTTTGTGGGGAAGTAATGAAAAGTAAAATTAAAACAGTGAATTCAGTTTATAAAAACATTATTTCCATGTTTCATAAATAACAGTTTCATTACTGGTCGCTAGATGGTAGCACAAATTGTTCTATAATGACCATTTGTGGCTTTTAATTACACAAATATGATATCTGCCAAAACAATTTCAGTAAAAATAAAAAAGGAAATAGAGAAAATTATCTGAATTAATATAATGAATATATTATAATTAATAAAACTGACAGATCTGTGTCCATCTTAATGATGTCTGAATTTTAAAAACCAGTTTTTTAATTATCAAAACAGTACATTATATAGCAGTCTACTTTTCTTCAAATTATCAGTGAGGCCAAGCTTCGCAGCTGTGTGTGTGTGTATGCATGGTATCATACTTCAAGCCTGGGATCTGTATGATATCCTCCTTATTAATTGACATAACCCTATTATGTGGTGGAGTCAATTGTATGCACATGCAGTGAGTTGGGGTGAAGTGGGAAGGCATGGGTTCTGTAAATATCCCCTTTATGTCAGTCCAACACTCCAAGATACTTGCACCATCCTGAAGGAACCATTCCAGCTTCACTGGCTCCCCCAGTGTAATCCAAAATTAGAGAAACTTTCAAAACTGATACAATATTAACAATATATATTATCATTGAATTATAAAAATAAAACAGATGTTCACTTATCAACCTGCTTCATTGAAATTGTTTTCAGAAAAAAAGAGAGGGGAAACAAGTAATAATATTAAAAATAAAAACATTTGCAAACATTAAGTAAGATGTATGGATGGCAGTCTTACAAGCTTATGATTGTTAGCCACTGTAACATTGTATAGCGCTATTCAATTTAAATGCTTTTATTCCTACTGCAACAGGAATTCAACATTTAGTTCTTGAAAAAAGTTATTCTTGGAAAGATTTAGCTACTTATGTAGTGATTTTGGTATGGTTTTGTGTATTTATCCCCACCTTGTTTCTGTACTTTTTGGCATTTCCATCCCTACATCTTACTAAATTTGTGCAAATGTTCTTTTAATTACTTCTAATCAAAATTCAAAGCATATCCTGCAAAGAGTATCGTTACTGAAAGCATGGTTTGGTGCCAGTTGCTCAAAGCTTAGATGTTTTATATATGTGTATAGTAGACAAAACTTTTTTGGTTGTAGTTATAGTTGTAATTCATAATTATTTAATTGACAATTTTTATAACTTGTTTCTTCAAGTTATTATTTCTATAGGAATAGGTAAATTATATTTGCATATTATTTATTTCTAAACGATTGTGAGGAAGGTTATTGTTAGGAAAGGATGTTGTTCCTGCATAAAAGAAAAAAAAAATGTTTATTTCTACCTGTGTCATATTATTTATGTTACTTTTCACAAACTAAGTCAAGTGCTTCTTTTCCCTCAGGCTTTTATGGAACCCCACAACTTAAAACCGACATACATACGATTTTTGAACCGACTAACTGACAATAGGTAAATAATTAATTTTTATAACATTTTTGTGTCAGAA